TATATATATATATATATATATATATATATGTTTTATATATATACATATACATACATACATAAATACATATATAAAACATGCTCATATATTAAAATGACCATGAAAGCAATATTATTTCACGTTTAGTCTTGAACTCTGGCACATTTGCCAAAAAAGCTGCCCACCATAAAAGGCTTATCTGCCACATCTTGAAGTTTAACATAGAGAACCAGAACAATCTAAAAAAAAAATTAAGGGAAGGGAGTGAAAATTTACTAGGTCAAAATTCTAAAATGTCACACAATTATCTGTTAACTTTTGTTAGTGGAGATGCAATCTAAAAATGTCACAACACTTCTAAATCAGACAAATCCCAGCGTAAATAATAAACAGATTGAAAAGTAGTAGGTTATAACAGGGCTTGTTCCTTAACAACGGCAAAAATGTTAATCTGTTGATCAACCTGCCAGTAATCTGTGGGACTTCTGGTTAGGAGTTGGGGCAATTACAATATTTAAGAAAGTGCATGACATGAAAAAGCCTGCTCAACTGGGCAGATTTTAGATTGAACGTGTGCAAACAGACAGGCCTATCTTAAGGAAACCATTGTTCATTTGGGAATGGAATAAGAAACCCCCAAAGTCCTTCTATTTGTATCTTAATTTATATTTTCTCTTGAAAGTATTCCTTATACCTTATTTTTTAAAGTTATACATTAAAACCTTGGGGAAGTAATTTGCAAAAGATAGTCTATGAGCATTTTACACTGTACTCACGTCCTGGTGGATAATAAGAAGGCTCAGCATAAAAATCCAGTTTATCCTTAATATCGTCTTCATTTTCTTTTTCCCACTGCAACCCCACTTTCTTCCAGTAGGTTAACGCCAGCTCCCTAAACACAAAGCAAAATAATTACAAATGTTGTCGATTCTATGCAATATATAGTTGCATAAGAAACTATACCTGTTACATTTTTTTTTTAAAGAGAAACTTTGGAGGAGATTTCTGAATAAAGCTGGTCCCAATTGTTCTTTTAAGACAGTGGTCCCCAAACTTGGCAACTTTAAGACTTGTGGACTTCAACTCCCAGAATTCTCCAGCCAGCTGTCTTTAAGTCTTAAAGTTGCCAAGTTTGGGAACCACTGTTTTAAGTCAAAGGCTACATGTATATAAGAATACTTCACAATTGCACAGGGTTTTTGATGGTATGGAAGTTTGGTATGGCAATGTTTCCTTTTGTCGATGTTAGGTGGACTAGGCCGAAAGATACTTATTCTTTGCTCAATGTTAGAGCTCTAACATCTGCATACAAGTTTAATTTCACACACATAATATCAGACAGTCTGTTCATGCTAAGAATTCTGGAAGTTGCTATCCAAGACATCCGGAAAACAGCTGATATACAGGAATCTTTGCAGATACAACAGGGCAAGCCAATGTTGTTGTTTTTCTTTTACAAGTGTGCAACGTGACACATTTTAAAAAGGGGTGGAAATTCAACGGCCCAATTGCGCTTGGTACTTGTGACCCCACTGACCGTAGACAACCGCTCTGCTAGTGTAAGATAAGACAGTCTGAATTTGACTTACTTATTCTCATGCATTTCATCAGTCAGGCCACTGAGTAAGAGAGGGATCAATTTATGGAAATAGGAATAGCGATCCCGCAGGTGCAACAGCCATTCACCAACTACGCTGATAACAGCCTCTCTGACCTGAATGAAAGATCGGGTGGGGGGTGGGGAGGAGGGAGGGAATCCGTATCATGCATTTTGCAATTCCATCCAAATCGAATGCTTTTTGCAGGAAGAAACTTGAGCTTTACAAAAAGTAATGAATTTAACCCCTGGCCAAATGTTACCTGTGGGATGTCATCAAAACATCGCTGGGCGAGGTGGGAAAGCACATCATCCAGCGATTTGACGTTGCCGAATTGGATCACGGACCCTGTGGCATGAATGACAGCAACGCGGACCTTATAGTGCTGGTGGGAAATGGCCTGCATTAAGGGACTGATCAAGCTTTCCGACTGCAGGTGAAAATGATCTGGAAGGCGGAAAAGTTTTATTTAGTGACTGGAAATGGTAGAGAAGAGCCCACTTTAGGCTTTGTTCTTAGCCAGGCAGTGCTTGGTTCTTAACTGACCCGAGGCTGATACCAAAGACATAAAACAAGGCTGACTTTAAACTGCTGTAAATCTGCTAAATGTTTCCCCAGATGGGGCACACTTGCAACGTACTGCAATCTTCTTCCAACAGCACATTACATATAATGATCCATACCTACATTATTATATATATGGTTCCATATATGTATTATGTGCATATGGGTTGATATATACTGTGTGGTACATGTGGTATGTGAATGCATACAAATATAAATGTGATACATTTTACACACACACATACATACACATACACTTGCTCAACAGCGAGAGGGTGGCATATGAATTTAATAAATTGACCTATACATACAATACTTTTTATGGGCCAATATATGTAAAAATTATCTACCTCCCTATCTCTGTCTACATCCCTCTGTCATCTATCTATCTACCTATCTATCTCTCATCCACCCTCCCACCTACCTATTTACTTACCTACCTAGGCATCTTTGAAGACTGGTATGATTTCAATTCCCATTATTCCCTAGCCAACCAAAGAGCTCTGGGAAATGAAGTCCACAAGTCTTAAAAGTCGCCAGGGTTAGCCACCCCTGATCTATAGTCAGTCTATAGACAGTCAATGCATGCCATTGAACTTATTGGCCACCCATCTTTACACAGGGCAACTCTGGGTGGCCTGTATGCATATCTGTCTGTCTATATATGTATGTATGTACGCACTGTATAGTCTAGCTATCCATCCATCTATGATATCTATCTATCTATCTATCTATCTATCTATCTATCTATCTATCTATCTATCTATCTATCTATCTATCT